GGGAAGGATGAAGATGTGAACAAACAAGTATTTGCATGCAATTCAAACCACAACATTTGAGCAACAGCTCCAAATTGCTCACTTTACACCCTACTGAAATAGAAATCATCCCAACAGCAAAGTCAAAAAACCAACTGACTTATGCCAGCACTGCATATTTCATTCATTTCAGAAGCTTAATACATTAACATTGATCACAGAATAGCAGCCCGGACAACAACCTGAGCTGGGTTTTGTGTTTTAGAGAAGAAAAACACGATATAGCATTGCTTAAGATACAACAGATGGTTAAAAGGATACATGAAACAGTACCAAAGGCACTGAATGATAAAAATACACAGCTACAGCACGTTGATACAAGAAGTAAAGAGACCTGAACAAGTACATTTTTGAAATAATCATTACTGATTATTACTCAGCTGCTAGGAGGGAATATACCCTATGTTTACAAAGTACTTCTTTATCACACACGTTTGTGTTAAAGAGAGGAGGTGCAGTTCACACAAACTGCAATTGTGAAGAGCTAAAACCCCAAATTTACCATTATTCAAAGGGCATGCTTAATGTGTGCTTACAGGGATTCTGAAGAGTTTCCCTGTGATTTATTGAACCTGTGGGTGGTTTTGAAAGGAAACCTTGCAGCTCTCAGGAGAACACAGAGGCTGTAATCCCCAGCCCAGGCCTTTATGAGCAGCAGGTCAGTGCCTACGTGTCTGGAGACACTTCAGAGACTGCCTGACTGCACACAGCCTCTGACACCAGCTGCCTCTGAAACACAACACCAGCTAACAGCTTCTCACATTGTAAGAACCTGGATAATGTACCATTCACACAAGTGCACCAGGAAACCTTCCCAGACCGTGGTGTTCACACTCATCAGGACAATTCTCTGACAGTGACATTGCTCTGGTGACTACACTGAACACAGAGCTCCCAAAGGCCACCAGCTGATTCCCAAAAAGAACAAGGCCTTTCGTGTATCCATCCAACTGAGTGATTCTACCAGCCCTATTTCACCCAACTGGCCAGAACATAAGTGCCATGGTGGTGGGAGTGCCATTTCTAAGAAAAACCACTTGCTAAATTAGTTGCCTGGATCCACTTGTGTGTCATCTACAACATCATAAAGGCCACTGAGCCCATTTTATAGACCGAGAGGTTACAACGGTAAGCACTTTATAAGAGGTGGGTTTTGTCAGTGTAAGAATGTGAAGATATTCGGCATGGGAGGAGAAAAAAGAAGGTCCTTAAGACTGTACATGGCAGCAGACATCACTGTATTCTTTGAAGATGCCATTAAATAATGGAGAAAAGGACCGTGTGGGCATGGACCCCAGCCAGGCCTGCTCCTTCTCTCTGGGACTTTGCACTGCTCTGAAAGACATCTGTTCTTCCATTCAGGAACCAAAAGGCACATCCCATCCAAGCAGCTGAAACTTAAGACAGTAGGGAGAAGGTCCTTTGTGTCAGCTCTGTTGTAAGTCAGTGTGTCAAGGGCGATCCCTACTGCAGCAACTGCATTCTCTCTTCCCTTCTGCAGAATAACTGTTTACGTTTTCTTCCTTCTTCTGTTAACAAACCTGTTGGCAGTGCAGGATTTAGTCTGAAAGTCTGAAGGCTGTGGTTATACAGACAACACAGAGGGAAAAGAATTATCTTGGTGACCCCAAACTATCAGTTTGCTTTGGTTTTGGAGAGTCAAGGGTGAAAGCCAAATATGCTTCCATTGGTAGGAAGCAGTGAGCAAGCTGCCTTTGTTTCCCCTTCCTAATCACTTGTATCTATTTACTTAGCAGCTCTGTGTTTACAACAAGAGACTACTCTGTGTTGGCTGCCTTAGTGTCAAAACCAAAATATTAATAGCTGCTGCAATTTACTGCTGTCAAAGGCAAGGAAAGGAAGAAATAAAACCTTAACACAGATGGGAGACAACAACTGAAAACCCTTAAAATTTATAACAGATCATTTCAGGAATCAGTAAGAGGGGAAAAAAAAACCAAAAAACCTACCCATGTCAAATTGTAACAAAAGACATCACCTCCCATAAAAGCAGAAGTCCTAACAAAACCGGGTAAAGAATATTAATAACATCTTCAGCACACAAACCTGTCTCGTTCACCTGAATAAATGCATGAAAGATTTACTGCTTTTTCCTCAAGAGCCAGGAAACTGCTTGGTTCAGTGCCTGCAGCACTCGATGGAGACACAGAAGCTGGTGTTCTGCTCCTGGCTTGCCATGTTATTTGCTTTCCAGGACCTGGCCAAGCACACGTCTGTGCCTCAGACTTTTGCTGACAAAATGTCAGAACCAAAGAATCAGGATCAAATAACTGAAGTCACAACGTGTCCGTGCTAAGAAATGCAAACCTCCCTTATCCAGAGGTATTTTACAACAGGTAGAGCTCCATCTTGTTTATTACAGTGAGATTACTGGCAGAGCAGGCAACAGCGGAAACGAATTAAAAGCAATTATACAACATGACTGAAACAATCAATTAGTGAAACTGCTCTTGTTTCCTGAAGACAAGAAATGCAGCAGAGAGTAAAAGGTCACGTCTCAAAGGTTTGCGTGCTTGTAAGCCATTAACATTATTATGAATTATTAGGAAATAGGCAGAAGTTACACGGACAGGACAAACTGATCTGAACAGCATTACTTCAGCAAAGACTGCATGGTTCAGAACATTCCCAGTTTTCAAAACATATCCAGAAGAATGAGAGCTGATTTGCAAGTAAGTAATTAAATTTTTATCTGAAAAACTTCATGCCTGTTTTGGATCTGCAAAGCTCCCCACTGGAAAAATGACTCAGAACATCAAAAAGGAATTAGCAGCAGGGTGCACAGAACCAAAAGCGACATAAATGACATCTTGCTTCTAAAGCTGCTTGAGTAAGGTTGCAGGGTTTTAGAAACCATAAACACTAACTAATGCTGAAAAGTAACAACCTTTAGGCATATTAACACTACATGATAATGATTTAAGCAATGCATTTGCTTTATTTATAGAGAGCCTGAACGTGGTGACACAGAAATGACCATCTGGAAATCGGTACCCAGCCAGAGAGCTGCTGATCAATCCAAACATCATTCTGATAAGGGTGATTTAAATGAAGATGGACATTATTTTATTTTGGCTAAAGATTTTTAAGGTGACAAAGGAATAGCTGACTGCAAATGAAGTCATAAGAACAAGCACACTGATATTAGTGTGGTACACCAGCTACCAGCATGGGTAGATGTTTTTGTGCCACTCTGCAATGAAGAACAATAACATCTTCTATTTTTTGTTCAGTAAATATCCATCTGCTAAGATTACTTAAGAAACACCAAGCACACGTGTACAGGACATCAACAGTGACTTCTGCTTCCTTGGGAGGTCCGTGGCAGCAGCACAGAAATTTGCTCCAAGCACACATGTAATCTGAGCTCACCTTTGGGGATCCTTCTGAAGCTCTGCTCCTAATCCTTCTTCTTGTGTGCACTTTCTGATCTTCTCACACAATAAACACACTGAGAAGGGTATCCTCAGTGTACTCTTACAGCAAACACACAAAACACCTCTGTTTCTCCACAAGACTGCAATCCCCAGCCCCTGCCATTAGCAGCAAGCAGCATATTGCTCCATGCAATGCTAGCTGAAGCTCAGTACCCACTGCACTGATTTTGCTTGATGCTGATATCAAAAACTGACCTCTTGCACCACTCATTTCTTGATAGCAAGTACATAAACCAGAACCTGGATACTCAGAGATCCATCAGAGATAAGGTCCAAGGAAGTCAAATGCTGCAAGCTTGCACATGCATCAGCGTCAGTGCTGAATGCAGCATTTTGCATGAGCAATTTAGCTCATGCTTCATTACATCTAAAAAATGCAAGGAACTTTTTCCAATGCAGATGAATCTACCTTCTTTGTACAGCAACCATATTTACACTCATGCTCATTAAATAGAAAGGAGAACTGTTTCATTCATCTAAACAGAAGGTGAGAAGTATTTCCAGCACAATTTCCCACGAAAGGTGTGCCTTTGTATCTCCTCTGAACTGCCTGGATTTTACTAACTCTGTTTGGAATATGAAAGCTATTTGTTCATGAGAAGGAATACATACAGAAGATGAGTGACAGCTGAAAGGAGTTTGGTAATCAACATCAGAGTTAATCACCTGCTTGCAGCCTCCTATGGGACCTGCATAGGGAGAAATCTCCAAATGGCAGTTATTGCATGAGGCTGAGCACTGCCTCCCCACCTCCACCTACTGAACTCCCAGACTGTACCTAAATGCACACATATCTTGGCTTTCTAGGAAGAAAAAGTAAGTTACTAGTAAGATCTAAAGGCATGGTTAAGAAGAGAACAGCATTTGTGCCAAGATACAGCAGACAGAGCTAAAAAAAGCCCTAAAACATCTGCGACCGCAAAGCCAGATTTATCCTCAGGAATGTGTGTATTTCAGTTGCTGGGAAAATTATAAAATAACAGCAGTATACATTAGCAGTGTGCCTTGTTACTAACTGAAAACATCAGATCTGAAAGGCAGATCCTACCTCATGTCAACCAAGACAGCTCCTGTCTGAAGCAGGAGGACAGGATTTGGTTTTTGGATGAGCAGCCCTGAGTGTCTGTGCACTCACAGCCCCAATCTGTGCATGCTCAGCACAAACCTACCAGGCTGTATTCTCCATGTGGGTCTTTGGTGCTGGCACACACGTCCAGGATGAACTCCATGGGTTGACAACTGCACCAGAATACAAAAAAAAAAAAAGCTACAGAGCAAAGGATTAATTGCAAGTACATCAATTCAGTGGGAAACAGCAGTCTTCTTTATGGTGTTGTTAAACTAACACCATCCTCCTGCCCTCAGTGCTGATTATTCACTTTGAAAGCTTTAGAGGAGAAAAAAATTACAGAGGAAATCATTCAGTCTTAAGTATTGTAGAGGTTTATCTTCGTTGTAGTTTTTGGCAGCAGTGGGGGAAAATACTTTCTAAAAGCACTACTGACTTTCAGCACAGTAATTCCTTGAATGTGTTGACTTCCAAGTCAAAAAGAGCAAGTCTATGTCCTGTTTTTATAATATATATAATATCAGTGATTGGAAAATTGATTATTCCTAATTTTGATCCAAGACAGGTTATCAGGAACAGAAAGAAGTACCAGGAGAGCCAGTTTTCATTTAATCACAAATACAGAGCACAGCTTAATAAATGTTCTTTTCATGCAGTGCCATTCACACCACCTTAAAAACTATTCCAGAGACTAAAACTGGAAAATTAGCTGCTTTATTTCCAAGTACAACACAACTTACTGTACTGCAGCATTAGCCAAAGCTTGAGGCCTCATCAAGGTAAAAATAAAACTCACTATGATGTCAGTTCTGAGTTTTTTCATTATAAAAAAGAAATCCCTCAGTTCTACAGTTGCAATTTTTTTTTTTTTAAACCAAAATAACTGATGACAAGGAAAAAGCCTGTGCTGTGCCATACTTTGCTGATTACATCAGTAAAACACGTTTAGTTGTCCTGGAAATTGCTCCTTTTAGCAAGGCAGCTATCTGAAATTACTCTGAAAGGTGTAAATGGTTTTTACACACATTTATATATAATACATGTATTTAATTGGAAAATTGCCTCTTTTTTTTTCCTCCTGTGTGTGCCATTGTCAAGAGAATGCATCACAAAGTAGAGGAGCATCAGCAGAAAAGCAGTGTTGGCCTGAGATGTTGGTAATCTCAGTAGCAAATATCAGCAGCAACAGAAAGAAAAGGCTTTGGGGGATGATCTTACAGAAAGTGCACAATTTGCCAGCACAACACTATCAGCTCTGTAACAGCAGCCAGAACTTCTATCTTGGGACACCACAAGCAGCCTGACCAGCACTGAGTTCTGTACTGTAACCTGCAGGAGGAAGGCAGGAAAAAGAGAAAATCTGCTTAATTAAAAGATTCATGATTTAAATGAATGTGCCTCAATCCACAGATCGTTTCTTCTCTGGATAGAGTCTGCCCTTTCTCCACCACCCAGACATTCTCAGATACTCTAGCACAACCTAGTGCTTGAGAGCAGCAATAGCTGGGCAGGGAAAGTCTCATTGCCCTACACACCTCCATCGTGTCTTTAGACACAGCTGCAAATCCTCCTTGTCATAAATGCCTTGTCATAAATCAACAACTCTCCAAGTCCTCACGTTAGAAAAGAAGTCGCAGAGCCTAATTAACAGCCTATTTCCAAACCAGCCACGTCTATTTCTCTCACAAAGAGAAAACAAAACGCTGCTGTCCCCTTAGCCAGGGGCACAGACTAGGAACTAAGATATCTTACATCAGCTGCTTCAGATTACACCCACAAAAATACGGTGTGAGCATCTAAGAGGTTAAGGGAGAGACATCTCTTTGAATGCCTTATCCAGAAAGGAAGTAGCAACAACAGACTCCGGAGTTCATTACTTTCAGTGGGAGGAAAAGTCATTTACAGTGAAACGATGGAAGCAAACACTGCGGATTCTTTCATCTCCAAGGGGAAGAAAGCTCTCCATCAGCTGACTGGAAAGAAACCTCAAGTGAAGCCTTTCATACAAATAACACCTCCATTCCATGGAATGGAATTGATTAAAGCCTTTAGTTTTTCATTTAACAACTGAGCAGTGTTGAAATGGTCTTGGATATGGACCAAAGGGAAGCTCAGTATTTCCTTGGAGACATTAATACTTTGGAGCATTCAACATATAGTGCATTATATAGCAATTGCATAACATATGCCTTCTGTGTTTGGTAAGAAGCAGTGCCAGATGTGCTCTGACAGTTCTAGCTTCAAGTGCTTGAATGGAAAAGATTAGAAGAAACCAGAAGTGCCAAGACCACACTAAACAATTCTGTTTCTTATTTTGTAAAGTACGTGGCAATCACAGTGCTGGCAACTTCTCTGCCAGAGGACAGATATTAACTGAAAGTAAAATTATAAAGGATGCTCAAGAAACTGAAGTATCACAGTCCAATCTGAGTTCTGATAAGTGATGAACGCTGTAAATTTGTAACCTACACTAGTGGTTTGCTCTTTGCTCTCCCCTTTTTCCACTTCTCAGAAAGGAATTACTGGGAGCAATTCTTTTGCTCGTCTTACAGAATCTGATTCAGAGAAAAAAGTCAGAGAAAATGATACCTAAAACCAAAAGGCACCTCCTGCCAGCCATGAAAAGAAAAAAAAAAGTCAAAAACTCATTTATAGCTTCTAACAACTCTGACCTTTGCAGCAGGCTTAGGAAGGCAAGTATTTCAGTAGATCTGCAGAACAGCGGGGCCCTATGGGGAGGCAGTGAGAGATTCTATAGCTGGAATTCTCTGTATTATGACCCAATATTACTTAGTACTTCACTCTCATAAATCAGATGGACAATCCTGGGAAACAGAGGTATCTAACATGGTAAGAGAGCTCCCATGCCTTTTTCTAAGAGCTAACCCAGAGGTCCTGGTCAAATTCTATCAGAAAGAAGATGGAAATAGGAAAAATTTCATCTCAGAAAGAGAGGTGCTGCAGTGGCACAGCTGCACAGGGAGGTGGTGGGGTCACCATCCTTGGAGGTGTTCAAAACTGCAGAGATGTGGCACTGAGGGCCGTGGGCATGGTGGAGCAGGGTGGGCTTGGGGATCTGAGAGGTCTTTTCTAACCCCAGTGATTCAGTGATTCTATGATTTCCAGACACTCAGCTCTTTACAGTAAACAGAGTATTTTCTCCTTGCCTGAATACAGAAAATAATTAGGATAGCTTGCCCACTACATAAATTAGAACCATACTTTATGAAATGAGCTGCAAGAAGCTGGACAGCAATGCACTGACCTGGCAACTTTTGTTCCACAAAGAAAAGCACTTACAAGCTAAGTTACAATACTCATGACAAAGCTTCCAAGTTCCAGCCTTCCCTATCAGGGGTTAGGGACACTGAGATCTGAGCTGCTGATATCCTGAATGGGAGGATAATGATTTGTAGAGAGGGGTCACTGAAAAGTCAACAAAACAGCTGGCTGAGTCCGCTTTCTACTCAACTGTGCTTTGTCAAGGATAAACCCCTTGCATTGTAGCACTGTCACAAAAAGAAATGCAAGTTGAGAGCAATCAGATCAGCAAAAGCCCCTCCGCAGAGGATGAAATCCTTACGAGAACCAACAGCTGAGAAAAATGCAGTCAGTGTATATACAGCACAAACTAATCCCTCACAGCAGTCATGTAGGAGAAACTGAGTCTTTGTTTTTTGCTTTAAAAAGCAGATGACTGATTAAAGCTATTCAGGCAAGTAGCCCTCTGATTCCATTTGGTTTGGCTTTGATTACTTACAACAGGCTTCACTTACACTCCAAAGAGGTGTCTGACAGCATTAAACATCATTAGCACTATGAATAGGCATTCACACCAAAGAGAAACACTACTCCTGAGTCTTCTTGTAACAGTGATGGAAATCTTGGATTTCCTAGGCAGGTCTTCCCATAATAAGGGACTGTATGTTCAGCTTTACAAAAGACTGCAGGGATAGGGGGGAATGCTGGATTGACACATTTCAGTAATAGAAACATGTAACTCCAAAGTCCTAGAGAGCACTAATAATAGCTGACAAGTAGCACAAAGATGGATGATGTATATCTTAGTTTGCTAAACACTAATTAGCACAACCCTGAGGTTGGATGTGGGGTTCACAGACTTAGGAGGCATTTAGCTTCAGAAGACCAGGCTTCCCAAACACCTATAACAAGCATTTATTACCTCCCTGTAACACAGCCATTTTCTCCACCTCTTCAGAATTAATGTGTTTTTGTTTTTTATTAATGAAGAAAGATCATAAAAATAAGAACGTTGATAATAAACTGAGATTTTGTTTCGGGTTTATTTTTGGTTCGTTTCTCTTCATTCTCTTATCTTGTTCAAAACCCACTTACAACTTCTAATTTCTTCCTCAGAACATTTCATGAATTCTACTTCGTGCTTGGACAATGCAAAACCACACTAAAAACAAAGCACTGACAAAGTAAATGACAAAGTACTGAAAAATACATTTGTGAACACAGCCATACTCAAGGGAATCCTCATGCCTGCAGGTGTTAATGAGTGAGGGGAAAAATGTCTGGATGAATACTGAAACGAGAGAAAACACTTAAAATACCTTAATCAAAACCAGACAGACTGTCATACTGTGTATGTGAGAACCTCCTAACATCCCTATTCATTTATACTTTTGCTTAAGGATGCATCTCTACTTACTTGGTCAGCTTATGGCCCTTCATTGCAACGAGGAACTCTTTGACAGTCTCAGGACTCTGGTATCTGCATGGTGTTTTTGAGATGTATTTCAGTGTCTGCAAGGAATAGCAAGAAAGTATGCATTAGTCCCCAGTTCTTTTCTTCCCATGCTGGCTATGAAATCAGGCATTATTGAAGAACACTCAAAAAAAAATAATCATACTGTCATTTCAGCTTTTGAAGGTTCTTTTTCTAATTATTATTTACTTTTTTTAAGAAGTGGAAAGCTGTCACAGATCTCACACTTCCTTCTTCAGTAAGACTCTACTGATACTTCTCAATGGAGTAAGAAACAGGCAACACAGAGCTTCAACCTCATGTAATGAAAATTACATTAATACTTATCCAGGAAACCTCAGTGAATTCATTCACAGATATGACCCAGAGAGCTCATTATACTTCAGGTTACAATTACAGCTTTGGATGCTCATCTCCCTGTTCTGCCCAGAGCCCAAGGTGCCAACTGAAGGCTACAGACAAAGAGTGATCTTTAGAAAGCATCTGCTTTCTTGATTTGAATTAAATAATCTCAGTTGATGCTCAGACTGTGATACAGCTGTGCTGAACACCATCACTCAGACTTATTTGTCATTTTAAAATCAACAGATTCAAAGCCAGCTGAAAAAGGTACAGGTGTACGTGTTCATTGCTTTGTTGTAGCTTGTAACACTTGAGAAAAGCAGAGTACTGTTCATCTTTAAAACCATACTTAACTCCTGCCAAGTTTTAATGAATTCCATGCCAGGAATGCTCCCACTGCTCATCCATAAAAAGGCGCTGCAGTTGCACAATGCTAGCAATGCCTCTCCATTCTACAGCTGTTTTCTTTTTTTCATACATGTTCTTGGCAGTGCTTTCTAAAAGCTGATAGAAGCAGGTTAGATGGGTTGTGAACATCTGGCAAGGTTAGTGCAGTATCAGCAATGTTCATCTGCCTTGAGACCATTTCTCTCTGCTCCATTTTTAATGTAAAACTTACCAACCTCAACTAACTGCTGCAACATGTTACATCTGCTTTCCTTTGTTTAAAGCAACACAACACCTAGCAGACAGATCACACCTTATGGAACTGGAACTGAGCAGATCAAAAAGCAATACTGGTAATATGACTCTTCAAGAGAAATAAATCAAATTCAATTTCCTGGCTGTCTGTGCATGGGAAATAGCCCAAAATGAAGAGTTGGGAATAATGAGAAACAAAAGAAAGGTCCAGGAAATCCTCACATTGTCTGCACTGTGTGCGTCAGCAACTGAAGGATTTGAAAGAGCATTGGCAAAGTCTGCTTTGAATTAAGAAAAAAAAAATCTTCAGCTGCTGATCCTGTGCAGCTGTACACAAAGCCTACAAGTACCCATCCAACCCAGCCAGCTAACTGGAGCAAGGCGACGAGACACATTAATTAGGATACCATATGCACAAATTAGCTGTAATAATAATAAAGGATCTGTAATTCTGTATGTTATGCTCTGACGTTTCTTCTGTACTCGTAACTATTCTCAGAAAATCTCTGAACTGAATACTTATATTTAACAGTCTGAAACCAAATAAGCTGAATGAGTTTACACAGCAGAAACCAAGGCAGTGGGAAAAAAAGATTTACAAGACCATCGTGTCAAATAGGAAGATACACAAATGTATTTCCAGCATACTTCCATTAAAATTTGTTATTTTACAAGCCTGGGTAAATAAAAACAGTTGTTCATTCATGTATATACAGGTGTATATACAGCACAGTTGTTCATTCTACTTAAGAAGTTGATCAAAAAGGTTCACTGGACTGCTGAGAAACACATTTAAAAGCACAATGAAAGGTCAGACAATGATTCTACCTGCAAGTCTTGTCTGCCCTTTTCATACAAAATGGACTTCTTATTTATCAGTAAAGACAGCTGACATCATATTTCACTCAATACAATTATTTAAAGGAGCAGTTTCTTTTCCAGCTTTGTCTTTTTCCACACCTTCAATTGAAGTGCCTGATGTGCATCAAAACACAGCTCCTAGTTTAACAAGCTGTGTCTGTTTACTTCAATACCAATGGTGCAAGCACAGAACTCAGCAAGGCATACCCAGCATGAACAAAAGCAGTAAGATGACACATCTGGTTCTCTTTCAGAAAAAAAAAGTACCCAGGGTTTATACTTCAAGCTTCACCCCCTGGATAAAAAATGAGCATCCTATTGGTATTTAACACATAGCAGCAAAGTAATTAAAACTTTAAGCTGCATGCCGACACAAATAATTAAAATGAAAAAATATGTACTCACAGGGTGTTTCTGAGCTGTTTGAAAGAGGTAGAGGAAGAGACTGTTAGTCTCCATGAAGATTTAAATTAGCTTTTTGGTAAGCCACTATTCCGTTGAATCTGAGGCTTAGGAATTACAGCTCTGTACCTATCCAAACAAAGGCAGAACTAATAGAAAAACAAAGCCTAGGCCAAATCTTCTTCACATGAGTAGTTTCACCACTCAGTGGGATTACTCATGCAAGCAAGGAAATCTGCTTCCAACCAGCTGCCCATCACAGTGCTGCTCATGCAGTCCTCAGATACGGACACAAGAGGTCATATTGCTGGGAATGTGCCACTTCTGTGTATTTAAAACGTTAACATCTGCATTATACAGTTTTAATGGCTCTTTCTAGCAATAGGTTAAACATCTGCTACCAATCTGGCATCCAACTGCTGTGGATATCTGTACAAGTAATTCTGTGATTCCAATTGTCTGTGCCTTGGCCTTTTAATAAAATCTATTTTAGTTGGAAATTATTAGTTTAATTCTGTTTATAAGAAAACACCCAGTGCAATCTGTGCCTCAGCTCTGAAACCATGCTTAGGTGGCATCATCAATTAATCACACAATAGCAAGTTCCTGGCCTGGGTCTTAAAAGGATATAATATGTGCAATCTCTAAAACAAACAAGGAAACAAACATTAAAAGAAGAACAAAACAAAAAAAAAGCACCGTTTTTGTTTATTCTTTTTGTAAAGAATTTTAATCAGAGCCAAAGTCTGTGATCTGCAGCAGTCAGCAAGCACATCCCAGCTAAAGAAAACTTCCAGATCTCTGAAAATGAGCTTTCTTACAGCAGGACAGGCAGTGCTGTTATCTGGGCAGATGGGAAGCTGGAGCTTCCAGAGAAAGGAGAAGCCTGGTGATGCATATTTGGTGCCTGCAGTTTCCAAACTCCTGCCTGGCAGCACTGGACAGTCTCAGTGCAGAATTACCTGGGTCAGACTTATGTCTCTGCTTCATTACTTGTTCCCACTGAAAGGTGGAACAAGTGCAAGAGGAGCACAAAGTTGCTGGGCAGTCAGAGTGGATCCAGTAGAATCCAACACCCAACAACAGATCTAAATGCAGCCAGAACTGACCCTAGAAATATTCAAGTTATGATCACATCACAACACATCTGAGTTTATAAATCACATTGACAAAAGTGTCTCCACATGGAACCAGCTGCAAGGCTCTGCACTTATAATGCAGTCAGCCCACAATCTGAATAAACTGACCAGAGATTACAAAAGTTGACAAAAAAAAAAAAGAGGGTAAATGTGAAGCAAAATGACCTAACAATTTGAATCAATACAGCTTGTGGTATTTTACAGAGGGGATTTACAGTGTCACCCACCTCATACATGATTGTGTTCAGATTCTGCTGACCAGAGCTCTGCTTGCTTTTTCCACTCTCCTTGCGCTGCTGCTTAAGATCAGTGAGTAGCTGGAACACCTGGGAAAAAGCAAACAAAAAAGCTTGCAGTCATTTGAGAGCATTTTACCTAAACATAATACATCAGGAAAACAACCAACCCAAAATCCTAGCTAGAAAAATTTAAAAAAGGATTGCTTCTTTGCTGACTGTGCCAGCAGGTAAAATAAAAAAAACATTCTGGCAACAGAAAGGTGAAAAAGGAGATTCATAAAAGCAAGAGCAAAAGGATTTCTAGCACTTACTAAGTGTTATTCAAGAGTCCTAGGAGAGAAATCAGGAGGAGAAACCTATTGTTTATCTTATCCCATGTCCTAAACAGAGTGGGGTACATACACTGCTGTACGTACACCACTGTGATGGCACACAGCTCCAATTTAAATACAAGTGAGATGCTCAAAGAAAATTCCCTTAGATGTAATAGCAACACCTTCATGTTTATGATGCAGTGAGTGAGATCTAGAAGATAAGCCTGAATGCAAGGAAAACATTTTGATTTTTGCAACTATCATATCTGCTGCAACACCACAACTTCTTTACGTGTCACAGTCAGATGAGCAGCAAAGTACTGAGAAAGCCTCACAATTACTGCTTGATTCCCATATGAAACCACATCTGGTTGAAATTTCTTCAGATGTTTTCCCCCTGCTTTACAGATTATTCAAAGCCAATACCCTCAGCACAGTAACACATCACTTCTTACTGCTGCTTCTTGGTAACTGGCTTAATTCAAGTTCCACTGAAATTATAAACTTAAGGAAGAATGCAAACATTTCTAGATGGTGAGAAACACCAACACAGCAGCTAGGAGCCCTGCATTTACTTTGTGTGGTGTCTTCTATGAAAAAGGAACACAGTGTCCATTAAGCACAAGCAGTCAATCCTTGAAAGCCAAGCTGAAATCATGCACTGAGTAGCTATCTGAAGACAATGTGACTGCTGACAATGAGACATCAAAAAACAACCCCAAGCTCACAAAAGAAATTCAGGCATAGGACATTAAATGCATCAGTCTTGAACACTTCCTTTCAAACACCACTTTCTGAGTGAAATATTACCTTGATAAAGAGAACGTTAGCTATGCCATCAAAGAAAAGAGGAGCAAACAGAAAGAGGTCCATAGTTTTAAGGGAATCAGTAACTTGAAGAGCAGTAAAAAGCCATGCCCAGTGTAGCTGCAGGCACTGCAAATCCCTTCCTGCAAAGGGCTGAAAGCTGCACGCATGACAGCTGTGCTTTGAAAGCTGAATAAGCACTCATCAGTAACTTCATTTTCCCCACTTCCTTCTGCTCTTTTTCAACATATGTGGTACATTTACCAACATCAAGACAAAGCTGAACAGAATTTTGTCCAAAGAACACAAAGAATTGATTCTGCAGTTCTCCCTGCTCCACACCATCCCTTTGGGACACCCACAGATTTCACAAAATGGGGCCAATGCCACAACTGAGCCCCAGTAATACCAAAGTCCCAATGTCCAAAGAGGAAGCAGAGGTGATTTTGCAATAAATAACCTCCAAAATACTTGCTATCTTCTGTATTGCAATAGTACACTTATTTTGAGCAGATACTTAGTGCCAGCGTGGCTAATATCTATTTCTTTGTAAGACAGCTCTTCCCAAGTGCCTCATTAAAGCTCTTCTAACAGCCACCAGACAGTTGTTTTGCTGTACACACACAGCTCGAGAGAAAACATGTTAAGATTTACTTCAGAATAGGATAAAACAGCTGTGCAACTTTCAGCCTCAGAATTAAAACAATATGAAGAAAACATACGGTTTACTAAAACCATTCAAAAGCTACCTTCATAAACAATGCACTGAGAGCTTTCTGTCACCTGGCTGAAGTTAAACCAGTAAGAACACCAAATTTCACAGTCACAGAGCACTCTGAGTCAGAAGGGAGCTATATAAGGATCAAATTCCCTCTAATTTCTTTCTACCTCACTTAAAAAAAAAAAAAAAAAAAAAGCATCTTTACTCTGGAGATAGGAGAGTGATTAGGAACTTACCTACACTAGAAAATAAGACTCTCCAGATTTCCTTTTTCCTTAACAACAAATAAAATAGGAGGACAAAACAATAATCACAGACAGACTTCAAAAAGAAGTGTACAGGTGACTGAGCACAGCACCACAGCGCTGGTTCAGCATCAGGATGGAGGCAGACGTACCTCAAAGTTACTCAGCAGAGCAGCATTCGCATCTTTTCTAAAAGAAAAGAAAAAAGAATACAATTATTTACAGTCCAAATGAAACCATCTGCAATTTTTCCTTGCAGAATCACAGGCTCTAGAAGAACGGACACTATTTTTGTATTTCTTCACAAAATCATTCAGAAACTTACCTGTGAGGAATCTACAATTACCAATCTGCTGCCACTTCAGGAAAATCATTATTTTTCCACAGCAAATCATTCCATAAACATCCATCATATTTGATACACTCTGTCCCACGAGCCATAACACACTTCCATTTCACACTCCTTTTACTCAGACAAACTCACCCAAATTCACCAACTAATCCCAAATCTCCTCTCCTACATAGAAAGGCCTCCAGTTTTATTTGACAGGAAAAGTCATTAGGATTGCACAGGCTAGTTACTGATTAGTGAAGAACAAGGAAAAAGAAAATACAATTACTATTCCTATGCAGTGTACGTGTGAGTCTAGCTATGCCACTCAATTCACACGCAACACGATGAGCTCTAAAAACAAATGAACAACCACTCAAAAACTTATCAAAGTTCCCTCTTTATTCATTAACTCAATCTTTATGTGACTGCTCCTTCGTTAGCAGCACGAGGCTGAGTGCCCTGTTTCCTTATTAATCCCGTCCCAATGAAGAAACACTTGCTATCCATCACAGGTAGGCTGACTGCATTCTCATGGAGTTAAATGTGGTTTTTTAAAATTTAACTATATTACTACTGCATATTGTAATCTTATATTCGTAAATTAAAAAAAAAAGGGGATGGAAAAGCCTGACGCAGAACACCATACATTCCCCTCACAATACATTGTGCTGAGCAGTCAGCAGCCACCACAACAGCAAGTTTCCATACAAAAGGAAAGAAAAAAAAAAAAAAAAAAAAGGCTTTTCTCAGGTCTGTGCGTATAACAACAACAAAAAAGGTGCAATGTATTGTTAAGCACCAGCCGTGGTCTGAATAGAACCGTCCCGTTCATCGCTTTCCAACGCGTTAAATGCATCCACAAACTTCCACAGGTTCTATCATTGTTTTTAAATGAAAAGGACCTCCTGAAATACGCTGAGATGAACTCCAACTTCCATTTCGCTGACTCGACTCAAACTTCAGCCAGTGAGCTCACGCAGCTGCCATTCACGTTTGACAAACCCTATAGCTTCTGTTGTGAGGAAAATGCGAGTCTTCAGAAGCTTTGCATCCAGGCTATGCTACACAAATCCCTATGGATCAAAGACGTTTTGTTAGAAATCATAACGCTGCTGGGGCATTGCACTGCCTGACAAAAGTGAGAGGATCTATAGAGTAAATGCGTTACTGGGAAAACGGGTCCCTGGGAAACCTATCAGAAATTAAATTATTTAAGACAACCGCTTTCTTTTTTTTAATTTATTTATTTTAAAACAGCGTCGTGCTTATTTTTCTTCTTACAATGGATAGAAAACGAGCCAGCCTACATCTTAAGCCTTCAGCACTGCCTGCTGTGCTGAAGTACAGAGCTGGGAAGCAAGCCCTGCTTCAAAAACGATACAGAACTCACCTTTATGCCATTCAGGCTTACCAGCCCCAGACAAAGCCTTAAAAAGGAACGCATCAAAAGAATCAATCATCTTTCTTAGGACAGAAGGGCCTCCTGGGCCTCAGCACAGGACAAACACCATCAACCCCACAGCGATGCCAAGATAAAAAGGCGCTCGGCTCAGACCCGCACGGACACACCTGCACGCACCACACAGAACCGCACGCACAATAAAGAACCCCACGCACCACAAAGAACCGCACACACCATACAGAACCCCGCACAGGGAGCAGCGCGGCCCCCCAGCCCGCCCCGCTCCTTACACCTCCATCTTGTCCGCCGCCCCGCGCAGCCGCGCGATGAGGACGCCGCCTCGCGAGGGGCGGCACCTGGCGAAGCACAGCCGGACGGGAGCGCGTGGTGAGGCTGAAGGAGGTTCGGGTGAGGAGGGAGGAAGCGGAAAGCGAAGAGGAACGACCGAAAAAAAGAAAAAAAAAAAAAAGAAAAAACCCAAACCAAATAAAAAGAAACGTTTTCGCAAGCCAAAAAAAAAAAGCAATTGCATTGGCCGGGAATCGAACCCGGGCCTCCCGCGTGGCAGGCGAGAATTCTACCACTGAACCACCAATGCTTGCGCTGAATGCTGCTTCCCCCTCTACCCCTCTATGCTGACTGCTGTCCGTATCCCTTATGCTCTCATACCCACCTTGGATGGCAAATAGGCTTTCGACATTTTCACGCTGCAATAAAAGACCTCTCAGGCATTCACAAACCTTTCAAATAGATGCACCTCTGGATGATACGGAGGATGAGAATATACCATAAAAACACAATCATAGAATATCCCGAGTTGGAAGGGAGCCACAACGACCACCAGGTCCAAATCCTGGCTCAGCGCAGCAGCACTCAAAAATAACAGAATGTGGACCCTTTGTATGTTGAAAGGAAAGGCAGATTTCACTTGCAGAACAATAACTACTGCAGACAGAAAACTTGGTATGAAAAATGTTATTTGGAGTGGAAAATAGCATTGCTGTAGTCCTTCCAAATCAATATCAAGCATTTGCAAACAGAAAAGTAAAGCCTTATAGCTGTATATGTGCACTGCTGTAGATGTGTAGTCCTGCTATGGTCTGACTTTTGTGTGTTGCTGTGTGGAGACTGGAGTTGGATCCAGTGATCCTTATGGGTCCCTTCCAACTCGGGATGTTCTCTGATTCTATGAGTCCCATACATCTGCTTGTTCAGGGCAGGGCTGTAAGAGCAATAGAGGGAAGAGGAAGGCTTGGACATCTTGTGCCCACCATCTGTTATAGCAGCACACAAAATCCACTAGCTAATATTCTCTCTGGAGTCAAGCCAGGAGAAAATCTACTCTCAATTTGGGTCTTTGCTTCTCCTTGAGGTGTTGCAAATTGTTGGCCAGTTCTGAATGATTTGAGAAAACAGAAGCACTTCAGGACTCATCTGAAGTGCTCAGCCATAAACAGCTCTTGGGTATTCAGGTACAGTCATGGTCAGATACCTAAGTGCTGGGAAAGTTTAAAAGCCTACCATAAGGCTTTTCCAGCCCTTTTCATTTGCAGGTCCCTAAAAAAGTTTCATTAGATATGTGGATCCATCCACATATAAGTTGTAGTACAGATGGAAATTATTTTATACCCCAGAATCACTTTCCATGGAGTCCTTAGGAAAAAAGAGGCAGGTGAAGAGTCTTTAGCCTGCAGATTGAAAGCTGTTGTCTGACCCGGTGGATAGGCTGCAATGGATGCTGGTCTTTTTCATGTCAGGATTAAGTGACCTTGCAAGTTGGCAAATGCTCTGCAGCTTCTTTGCCATGTTTCTAATCTTGCCCATGAAACTGCCTGTACACCATCTCCCAGCTAGACTAAAAGGAAGAAAAGAACTGAAAAGCTTTCATTTGAGAATATTATTTCCAGACCTTACCAAATTTCCAGAGTTGTGTTCCAGAATCCTACAAATCCTTACCTCTTGTCACTCTCTGTAGATACGGGTTCAAAATCTTCAGCATATTAATTGTATTTCTCCTTTGTCAGATTTCTCCCCCAACACCAATTTATCATCTTTCTGTTCAGTGTTTCTCCAAAAGTTTTGTTCCAGACCTTTTTTACACAATGACAACGCCCAATCCCAGCAGCTAGAAAGAATGAGCACAACACAAATGCCTCTCTCAGTGGCCCTCAACCTTTTTCTTTCCAAAAGAAATATTCTTCCTACATTCTTCTTAGCAGAGACATGCAGCCTGCCAGGGCTGAAGTACAAAAACGACCAGCTACAGGTCCACTGACATCATGCCAGGGGAATCTCTAAGAGAGAACTCATTACCATTACATACAACTTTGCAGAAGAGATGGAGTGATTAGCTCATTGAACTTTGTTTTTAATTGCTGCACGTTAGATGTTAGACAGTTATGCTACACCATCCATAGGGAATGCAGACATAGGTTTTTCTAAATGTGCTTAGCATGTCAACATTTTAAGCATTGGCTTGTGATTGTTACCACTAAGGCTTGGTAGAGAGGGGCCTCGGTATTAACTATTGAAAGCAGGGGGCCTAGCAATTGCTATTGAAAGCAGATCTGCAGGGTATTTGTATTCTTTGTCATGAAAGATGTTTACTGTATTCAGCATTTCGTTGATCACCCTATAGTGTCTTTTTTTCTTTTACATTCAAAATTCATTAAACAAGGTTGTTGTTTTTTTTTTTTTATATAACAAAAAATGTCAGCACTGCTTCACACCAGTCTAGCTGACGGTGCGTTTGACCAGCACTTTCAGCCCACAGTGCTTTTTTTTTTCTTTTTCTAAACCAAAATGTCACTTAAAAAAGAATGTTTTTAAAGAAGATGTGTTGTAGCTCTTTGTCACCCCAGTCTCAGTTATGAAAACCGTTATGAACAAAGGATTTCTATGCACCACAAAAGCACATTAGAGCTGCACTCCACAAGTATTGCGCTCTTCCAGCAAAACAGAAATAAACACTGTAAATAGTAAGGGTGTGAATGTGATTGCTAAAGCAAGTACAAATAAAATTCAAATCTTAGAGGACATTAAAATATAGTTAATTAAACTTCTTTGTGCCGCAAAATGGGCGATTTCCTCTTACTACTTCATTGTATGTCAGCTGGGAATAGTAATATATGAGTGATGTGCCATTCTCTGTGCCAAATGGCAAACTAGTGGACAACAAAACACCCTTCCATGAGAACCTCCTCAGGATTTAACTGGGGACTGGGGATCTGGGAGGCTATTCTTTTATTAAGCAAATAAAGGACTGAAAGAAGAAAACAGATAGCAGTGAGACATCAATAGCAGCACAAATAAAGAAGATGATAATGATGAGGATACATTTCAGTGTTTGTTAGAAGAGACCTATTCTGCAATTCTATTTCGCTATTTTTTCCCTCAAAAAAAAAAAAAACCTCCCCAGCCCTAAGTGTCTTTAAGACATCCTATTTGTTCAGTGTTCAGTTTCACATTAAGGATTTCTGACTGGCTTTACAGCTTCACTTCCATTTCTATTACAGCAATATTACTCTGTATTCTACGTTGACCACTGCATAGAAGAGATCGGTGTGAAGTGTTTCATCTAAAAACAGGAAAAGAGATAATTAATATCCTTCTAGATACAACGTGGGGCAGTGTTTTGTACTTATAAACTAATCCTTGTGAAGTTGCTCAGTGCAAAGTGATACCGCTGATGGATCGCACGTGGAATCACTTGTCCTTGCCATGTATAATTCCAGGCATGGATTAATAAAAATAGGATCATCTGATAACAAACACAGAAGGCTTCGTGATCACAAAACTAGATTTGTGGTCAAGGCACGGATTATGAAAACAGCAGAAATTCAGCTAAGTTGTTCCCATTGATTAATACCCGGCTGCATGTGGGTTGCAGATTTTTGTCTCACAGCATCCATTAGAACAATTTATTTCAGCACCACAAATATAACACATGAATGTGTTACTGATCTCTCATCTCACTTGGGCACCTGGGATCACTATTTTTCCCCTTTTTCCCTCTGGGCACATCCTGCTGGGTATCTTCAGGCAGATATAGTCCTCACTTGGGCTGTGTGCTAAACTATACTCATACCACAAACATGAGACAGATGCTCTCTGTAGTGGGTGCACTCAGGTTATAAACTGAATGCTCATGATTCTCCCAAAACAACAGCAATTTCCTGTCAAAGCCTGGAGTAAAGACAAGGACACTCGTAAAGGGTGAAAGAGACAAGAAAAGTAGTAAAAATGATGGATTTCAAAGCAAGAAGGATGTGATCACAAAGCAAGCAATTAAGCAGTTTCCTAGCGTAGATGTCCTGGAGTAAATGGAAAAAGGAGACAAGTTGAAGAACTGAGAGAAAGAAGAAAAAGGACAGGACAGCAAAAGGGAAGGAAGAAGTGGGGATGAGAAAATTGGAATATGTTTCATGAGCTTTGCCAAAGGTCTGTGCCATGCAGATGGAAGCATGTTACACTGTAGTAGCACACAGTAAGGCAAACCAGCAAGTGCTCTTTCAGAGCAGAAAAGTGCTGTGTCTAATGAGAAACTGGTGCTGGGAAGCAGCTTTGTGAGCAGCTGTTCCCAACGCTCCCATTTTTTAAATCAATTCTTTAAAACCATGATATTTAGAGACTGATGGAGTTAAGACATGGGCTATTTGCCACAGCTGCAGACCAGTGACTGCTGTGGCACTGCACAAAACTTACAACCCACAGCCTCAGGTTCACAGGACCTTCTCAAGATTGACCCAGTGCAATTGGTGACAGCAGAAACCCTGAAAGCTGAAGTGTCCTTTGACATGGGGTGAAAAGGCTCATCTGCACGGGAACTGGAGACAAAATAGCTCCCAGCTGTTTCATTCTTGTGTGTTGCTGGCAATGTAGATGGAGTGTGGATGATCCGCCCAACATCCCAAGTACATTCATATCAATGTAGAGGGGGATGCCAGAGTGAAAGGACTCCTTCAATACAAGGATACTCCCTGACAAGGAGATGATCTGCCAGTGGAACCACACAGCAGAAGCTCTCCCACCACAGGCGGGAGAACTCTTACACCAATATCTTTACAAACAAGAAACATGAGGGCACCTCTGCCAGCTCTCTTCTTCACAGCCACCCTACCCACTGGGAAACCTCTCCCTGACCTTTTCCTGATTGAGCAGAGGCCGGACACAGGACAGGGGTGGGCAGCATGAGGGGGGCCAGGGAGGAGGGGAGTAGAGCTGGGCTGGACAAGGGGATACCCCGCCCCAATGGGGCGTGACGAGCTGCCAGCCCAGGCTCCGAGGCACGTAAAAGCGGGGCAGTGAGACCGGAGAGCACGGAGCAACCAGCCAGGGCTGAGCTGCAGAGACGGTGAGCAGAGCTGTGCGGGCAGCTGGGGAGGCTCTGTGCTGCTGTGGGGCTGGGGCAGAGCTGAGCTGAGCCAAAGAGAGCTGAACTGAACCTCGCCTTGCTGTTCTGCAGGTTGCACCAGGTGCCAGGATTGCTGCAAACACGAGCAAAACGTCGTCCGAAATGGCAACCGAGGTGAGGCCGAACTTTGCTTTTCCTATGGGGTGCTCTAGGGGTGCTGATAGCTGACTGATAGCTCCACAGGGCATCTGGCCGTGTTCACAGGGGTGCTTCAGGGTGCCTGATTTCTTTTCCCAGGATTTTGAATGGAAAGGGAACAGCAAACATATTTGCTGCAACGTACTTATATACTGCAATAATATGCTTCTTTACTACTTATCTACTGCCATATACTAAGATATATTCCAATACCTCTTCACCATCCAAGCGCTTAGCTCCCAACACTGGCCTTCAGCACTCCATCCATTCACTGAAGCGGGCTGCGCTCCCAGCGAGGGGCTGCAAAACCTTGCTTTCACAACTCGATTCCTCCGCCGCAGCTCCTGTTGACAAACTGCTGTAAAGAGAAAAGTTAGTAGACTTGACATTTCGTGCCTACAGTTTTCCTCCTCTCCACCGGCTGCCTGGGAAGGGGCTCCCGGAGCCGCCCGCTGTCCATGGTACCGGCAGCCCCGCAGTGCTGCTGTAGCTTCTCGGTGTTTGAGGATTTGGGAGTTTGCTGCTGTTTCTCTTTTTTTTTCTTACTCAACATTTATAATACTGAATGGTCTGCACTTTAGCCATTTTGGTGTTAGCTTCAAACACTTTGTAATTAGGAGTGTTTTACGAGTGTGGCTACTTTTGGCCCATAGCTCTTGGTCAACTGAGTATTTTCTTACATTCTCGCCACCTTCTACTTTGGTGTTTCAAGAGGCTATGAGGGAGTTGATAACCTGTAACTACCTTCAAGATAGATCCGTACAGCCCTTGTGCTATATGCACTAACATTTGTATTCAAGACAAAATCTCTCCAGAGTCCTGCAGGGGTAAAATATCTCGGACTCCTGAGCCAGACTGGACAGCTCAAGGCTAAATACCTGCAAAAATAACATTTACTCCAATTCTTCAACTTTTTTTTTTCAAAGCTCTTGAAGTCCAGAAGCCTTTCTGATCAGTGCTACAGCACTGCAAAGGAAGATGCTGGAGCACGCCCACAGTTTTATTTGAATATGGCACTGAGAGATTTTTAGGAGAATATATCAATAATACATTTAAATATGTCCTTTAATTTCATTACTCTCAGGGGGATAAACTTTTGGGAGGAAGATTTGTTGGAAGCACAGATCCCATCATGGAGATTCTCAGCTCTTCTATATCCACTGAGCAGAGACTGTCTGAAGTTGATATCCAGGCAAGCATGGCTTATGCCAAAGCCTTGGAGAAGGCTAGCATCCTAACCAAAACTGAGCTGGAGAAGATCCTGAGTGGCCTGGAAAAGGTATTTATTTCCTTCATAAATTGTCATGCATGCTCAGTACAATTCCCATAATAGTATTTGATGAATAGCTTATCTGACAGTATCTGTTGTCACCTCCCTGAGTTGATGCTATAAAAACCATCCTTCTGTATCCCCCTATCCTATTTCTTAGCACTAGGCATGTGGAAAAGTGCATTCCTGAAAGGGAATGCTGTCTGAAACCAGGGAGAACTGGAGAAGCCCGTGTGTACTGCATTTGGTACTCCAGCAGATAATCTGGAAAGGAGATAAATGCTTAGAATCCATCTAGCTAAAGCAAAAATCCCTAATGAGCAAAGTGTGAATACTTCTTGTGGAAACCTGGTGACTTGGTGAGGTGTGCTCAGCATGACCTGCCCTCCCATCCTCATCACACTGAACATTCCTGAGGAATTGTTTCAGTATGAATTAGGAATATTCTTTTTCCAGTGGCACTTGGGATCCCTTTGTGTCTGGCTGCCTGAGTTAGTAGAAGGCAATGCACAGTATTGTATAGGGGTGAAGAAGAGTCAGCCACTAGGCACTTTTTTTGAAATATTCATTGTTGTTGCTCACCTACCATGGACAATGGGCAGTCTATACAATGTTTGTATAGGAAAGTCTTTATGGACAATGCTAAAGCAATGACTGCCACTTCAGCTCACTTTCTCACTGTGATGCTCAAGTCCTGCTATAGCCAGGATTGCAGGATCAGCAAGGATCAAAAGATGACTCTCCACCAAGATCAATAGAGAATATAGGGATAGAGCAAGCAGCCAGCCTTGGCATGAAAGAACAGGAATGCTGGAGCTCCTATGAGAATGCTTTCCACCCAGCTGGTTGCCCCCAGGCTTCTGCCACCCAACTGGAAATTGGGTGGCAGAAGTTGGTATTTCCTGGGGACAACTTACAAGTCCCCCGCTCAGGGAAACAGTATGAGCTGACTTGTGTTTCTGTTAACATTTATAGATCTCTGAGGAATCATCTAAGGGAATCCTTGTAATGACCCAAAGTGATGAGGATATCCAGACTGCCATTGAACGCAGACTGAAGGTTTGGTTCCTTTAATTCCTCTCATTCCTCTCTCTAGCTAGTGCTGCCTGACATTAAGCACATGTGCCTCAGTCCCCAACATGGTGAAATTTCTCAATGCCCTGTGATACTGACATACTAGGTGCACAGCTTGCAGAGTCCAGGACCCCTTTTGTGTGGAAGAGAGGCTGTACTAGCCTAGAATCCAAACTTCTCCTTCCCCAGAAGAGAATCCTAGACCTGAACCCCTTGCTGATTCGGAGGATGTCTGCTCTTGCGAATAAGCTCTTGCCCAGAATAGAGACACTGACAGAAGTTATTCTCTTGTCCTCAGGAGCTGATTGGGGATATAGCTGGAAAGCTGCAGACTGGAAGAAGCAGGAATGAACAGGTATATATGAAACTATTTGTTTTTCCCATTGTGCTCCTCCCCTCCTCAGTTCAGGAAACCTCTGACCAGAGCTGCCTTTGGCTCCCATCCTATACAATAAGATATAGTGACATTATAACATCAGTATGACCAAGGACACATCTGATAAATGGAAAATTAATCTTCCCAACATAAAGAACAAGGAGGGAGTTATTTTAAAATGACAGTGTCAGGCTACCATATACGTCACATACATTTTTTCTGACTATGGCCAATCTTATCCAGGTTGTGACTGACCTGAAGCTGCTCCTGAAGAGTTCCATCTCTGTCATCTCCACTCACCTGCTGCAGCTCATCAAGACCCTGGTGGAGCGCGCTGCTATGTAAGTCCTTTCCCATGTCCATGGTCTCAGCCTTCTTGGGACAGGAGACTCTAGACTTGCTCTTTGACTGGTAACAATCATGGCAACAGCAAAGTCTTCTGCAGAAGATGTTAAAGTCAGGCACTGTGTAATAGCACAGGGAATAGCTACTCTTTCTCCACAGCCCACGTCAGAGAGACATTCCTCTTTCCTCATTGTATCCTAGGGATATAGAGAGAGGAATGCAAAGACCATGTACAGTACAACACAGGCTAAAGATATTCTCCTCATTACCTTGCCAGAAAACCCAAGAGTGTACCTTCCACTGCTCTCTATACTGACAGCTGTCTTTCTCTTCTGTCATATGCAGAGAAATTGATGTTATCATGCCTGGCTATACCCACCTGCAGAAAGCTCTGCCCATCAGATGGAGCCAGTTCCTGCTCAGGTAACCACCTTTCACACTGGACTCTGGGAAGGGAAGCTTTCTCCATTCTTGGAGCCCTGCACAGATGGAGCCTAGAAGTGCATCGTTCTCTGATGGGGCAGCGGGGGGAGACACAGCAGAACTAACCCTAAAAACTGCCACAGGAAAGCTCCATGTCCAGTGCCTCTTGGCTCTGACCAGCCAGAAATGCAAATGCTGAGTGCACTGTGAAGGCCAACTCTCAGCATGCCCCATCTTTGGCCAGTATTACTTCTTGGCTCATGCAACATTTTTTAGCTTCATCTGCTTTCTCTCTCATGTCCCCTCCTAGCCATGCTGTTGCACTGACCCGTGATTCTGAGCGCCTGGGTGAGGTGAAGAAAAGGATCACTGTCTTGCCTCTGGGAAGGTAATGTCTACTTTCTGTGTAATCCCTGGGTATCACTTTGTTATCTAATGTCTTGAGGGATATCTTCTCCACTTAACAAAGATCAATTTTGATTGGGGTTTGCAAGATAATATATGTGACTTCTGTTTCCTTCTTCCTGGCAGTGGTGTCCTGGCAGGCAACCCACTGGAAATTGACAGAGAGCTTCTGCGTAGCGGTAAATGTCTACTGTTGAGTAGCATGGGTCTACTTGATGTATCTGGGAGGGAGGGAAGAAAAAACAAGTGGTTTCCCAAGGCATTGTCACGCACTATAATCTTGGACCAAGTGTCAAGGATTCATATGTTTTCTTTAATGCAAAAAGAGGGCTATGTCTGTGAGGTGGTAGCTCCCATGCAGTGTAACACTTCAGCATTGGTTGCTGTTGGGACTACTCAAGGACTCAGTCACCTGTAGGCTGGGACAGTCTGATAATGTCAAGCCCTGGTCACGATAAATCTGACCTCTTCTATCTGTCATTTTCCTTACAGAACTGGACATGACTTCCATCACCCTGAACAGCATAGATGCCATCAGTGAGAGAGACTTTGTGGGTAAGTACAACTCTATCCTTCTTCCCTCCCCCATGTTAGAAGCAGACACCGGGCACCTTCCCCGTTAACATCATTTAACAAGGGAGCTGAAATCCCACACTGGGAAGTAACCAAACAGGAAATCTTTGCACATGTCTAAGCTCCAGTCAGGGCTCCCTGGTTTGTCAAACACAAACGCCCTTTTCACCTCCTGCTTTTCTGCCTTTTCTGCAGTGGAATTAATCTCTGTTGCCACCCTGCTGATGATCCACCTTAGCAAGCTGGCCGAAGATCTCATCATCTTCAGCACCACTGAGTTTGGCTTTGTGACCCTCTCTGATGCCTACAGGTAGGGGCCTGGTCACTGACAGTCCATCCCCAAGACTCTCCTTGTCCCTGATTTCTGTTTCTGGCAACTCAATCACATCTCCATTCACTCCTCCCCAGCTACTGCTGGCAGAAATATGCTGTAAGAGAA